GAAATTTCCCAATTGGCTGTCGCTTTTCCGTAATTCACTTTGCACTGGCGAAATTTGGATTTTCTGCTGTCTTTCATAGGAAGGACTCAGGTAGTGAAGGAGTTGACGATTGCCGAAGAAATCCTCGTTTTCGCGGAAATTTCCCAAATGGCTGTCGCTTTTCCGTAATTCACTTGGCATTGGCGAAATATGGATTTTCTGCTGCCTTTCATAGCAAGTATACCGGTGCTGAAAGATTACTCGATTGCCGAAGAAATCCTCGTTTTCGCGGAAATTTCTCAAATGGCAGTCGCATTTCCGCAATGCACTTTGCAATGTCGAAAGTCGGATTTTCTGCTGCCTTTCATAGCAAGGATTCAGGTAGTGAAGGAGTTGACGATTGCCGAAGAATTCCTCGTTTTCGCGGAAATTTCCCGAATGGCTGTCGCTCTTTCCGCAATTCCTTTTGCACTCGCGAAATATGGATTTTCTGCTGCATTTCATTGCATGGATTCAGGTAGTGAATGAGTTGACGATTGCTGTTGGATTCCTCGTTTTCGCGGAAATTTCTCAAATGGCAGTCGTATTTCCGCAATGCACTTTGCAATCGCGAAATATGGAATTTCTGCTGCCTTTCATAGCAAAGATTCAGGTAGTGAAAAGGTTGACGCTTATTAATAGAATCCTGGTTTTCGAGGAAATTTCTCAAATGGCAGTCGCATTTCCGCAATGCACTTTGCAATGTCGAAATTCGGATTTTCCGCTGCATTTCATTGCATGGATTCAGGTACAGAAGGAGTTGACGATTGCCGTAGGATTCCTCCTTTTCGCGGAAATTCCTCAAATGGCAGTCGTTCTTAAGCAATGCAATTTCCACTCCCGAAATTGGTGGAAATTTCCCAAATGGCAGTCGCTTTTCCGCAATGCACTTTGCACTGGCGAAAGTCGGATTTTCTGCTGCATTTCATTGCATGGATTCAGGTAGTGAAGGAGTTGACGATTGCCGTCGGATTCCTCGTTTTCGCGGAAATTTCTCAAATGGCGGTTGGATTTCCCCAATGCACTTTGTAATGTCGAAAGTCGGATTTTCTGCTGCCTTTCATAGCAAAGATTCAGGTAGTGAAAGGGTTGACGCTCATTAATAGAATCCTGGTTTTCGAGGAAATTTCCCAAATGGCTGTCGCTTTTCCGCAATTATGTAGGGTTTCTCGTTTTCGCGGAAATTTCTCAAACGGCAGTCGCATTTCCGCAATGCACTTTGCAATGTCGAAAGTCGGATTTTCTGCTGCATTTCATTGCATAAATTCAGGTACAGAAGGAGTTGACGATTGCTGTAGGATTCCTCGTTTTCGCGGAAATTTCCCAAATGGCTGTCGTTTTCTCCACAATTCACTTTGCAATCGCGAAATATGGATTTTCTGCTGCATTTCATTGCATGGATTCAGGTAGTGAAGCCGTTGACGATTGCTGTAGGATTCCTCTTTTTCGCGGAAATTCCTCAAATGGCAGTCGTTCTTAAGCAATGCAATTTCCACTCGCGAAATTGGTGGAAATTTCCCAAATGGCAGTCGCTTTTCCGCAATGCACTTTGCACTCGCGAAATATGGATTTTCTACTGCCTTATATAGCGAAGATTCAGGTAGTGAAGGAGTTGACGATTGCTGTAGGATTCCTCGTTTTCGCGGAAATTTCCCAAATGGCTGTCGCTTTTCCGCAATTCACTTTGCACTCGCGAAATATGGATTTTCTGCTGCCTTATATAGCAAAGATTCAGGTAGTGAAGGATTTGACGATTGCCGAAGAAATCCTCGTTTTCCTTAAATTTCCCAAATGGCTGTCGCTTTTCAGCAATTCACTTTGCAATGTCGAAAGTCGGATTTTCTGCTGCATTTCATTGCATGGATTCAGGTAGTGAAGCAGTTGAAGATTGCTGTAGGATTCCTCTTTTTCACGGAAATTCCTCAAATGGCAGTCGTTCTTAAGCAATGCAATTTCCACTCGCGAAATGTGGATTTTCTACTGCCTTTCATAGCAAGGATTCAGGTATTGAAGGAGTTGACGATTGCTGTTGGATTCCTCGTTTTCGCGGAAATTTCCCAAATGGCTGTCGCTTTTTCCGCAATTCACTTTGCACTCGCGAAATATGGATTTTCTGCTGCCTTATATAGCAAAGATTCAGGTAGNTCTGAAGGAATTCTCGTTTTCGCAGAAATTTCTGGAATCGCATTTGCTTTTTCCGCAATGCACTTTGCACTGGCGAAATGCGAATCTTCTGCTGCCTTTCATTGCGGAGATTCATATAGTCGCTGAGTTTGCTATTTTTTGAAGGAATCCGTTTTCGCGGAAATTTCCTGTATTTCATTAGCTTTTTCCGTAATCCACTTCTTCCCATCCAAAACATGAATATTCTGCTACCTTTCATAGCACGGATTCATGTAGTGAAAGAAAGTCCAATTGCTGAATGATTCCTCGGTTTAACGGTAATTTCCCTAATTGCAGTCGCTTTCCGCAATGCACTTTCCACTTGCGAAGTGTGAATCTTCTGCTGCCGTTCATAGCACAGATTCCTATAGTGGCAGAGTTAATGATTCCTAAAGGAATCCGCGATTACACAGGAACAATTGCAAATTCTCTCAATTTCCTTAAACTTGCTTTTAAAATTTTGGAAGCAGGATATGTGACGTGCAGCACATTTCAATTAATACGTTAATTACAAAGTAAGAAACAATAATTCAATGCGTTTTCACTAGGGCTGTTTCGACATTTCGGCTAACATCGGTATCGGCCGCCGGTGTTGCAATCTCGTCACCATCGGCCATCGGCCTCTAGTAGAGGTGCTGGTGCCGGTGCCGAATAGACGGGCAAAGCGAACAAAATATTACATGAGGATGTGAACGCGTCTCGGCGCCTGCCTCCTGTCTCTCCCTTGTAGTCACCGGTTCAGTCCTAGTTCTGAGTGAAGGCGAATGACGCTTGTAGAAATGTTGCTTAATGAATCGAGATGTATTTTTTTTTAGAAGAGTAATTATTCAGATGGGAATTGCCAATTAAATCGTTCTCACTGGCACGGCTTGAGTCCCGGAAATCATTCTGTCGTGTGTAACGAGCGATTGACGAAACGCAGTTTGGAAAGTCGCTCTAAATATGGAACTGGAAGCGAACAAAATTCTGAACTTTCGTAATCTCTTCATCTCGAAACGAATGCGAACCCATATTGGCTAAATCGATCAGAGTCTCAACTTGCATTTATTTTCAGAGTTAGAACCCCAACCGAATGGGAAGTATTCCGAACTCCCGTAATGAAGTTTCATCCCCTTGAGAGAGTGTGCGTTTCGCAGTCGGAGTCGCACGCAGGCGAACGGAGAGAGGAGCGAAAAGCGAGTCGCACGAGGGGCGGGGAGAGGCGGAACGAGGAAGGAAAATGTGCGAGAGGGATGGCGCGTGTCCTGCCCCGAGTTCGCCGGCTGATGCATGAGGAAACAAAAACGAAATTCAATTCGGATTTGCCATTCCGTAGCCCGCTTATCCGAAAAGGTGAGTGGACAATGCTGGTCGATCGGGATAAGAGCAGTTGAATGTAATGGAGCTCAACTCCGATTTGTTGCTTTGGACATGTATTTTATTGTCTTGTCCTCCCTCTGAATACATGGAATTGCAAACTGCGAAATTCCAAAGGAAACAATAGCGGGTCATGCTTTCCGTGTGTTCTAACACCAACCGTTTCCCTCTGCTGGAACTAGCCAAGGTTACAGGATCGCATTGAACGTGGTTTCTTATCATCGCTCTCACTGTGCAACTCATTTTCTGACACGTCCCGTGACAAAGGGCACGCTTACGAGTTGCAGGGTTGCAAGTTGCGTTTTGAAGTGGGTTGAAACAGCTGGAGTCTACACGGAAAATGGACGACTCAGTTCCACGTGCGCCACGCATGTCACGTGCGTCGCGATTTTCCTTTTCGCGTGCTCTGAAGTGAAAAACACGGCATTGGAGTCACTTTTCCTCCTTTGGTACCTTTAAGTTTTTTTTTCATTTCACCCGAAGGAATTTCTTGATCTTCATTTTATATTCATGGGAGACTTTCAGGAAAGAGAGAAGCCTTCCCCCTCTCCTCGAGGAAAGACTTCCCTCCAGTCGACGCCAGACCGTCTCACCGTGCCGAATGGAGTCCCCGCTCGGAGTCAATCTTTTCCCCTTCCTCCTCGTCGCCGTCCTTTTCCCGCAAGCAGACTTGTCCTGCTGCTCCTCCTAAGCTTTCTGGGCGTCAGTTTTTTCCTCCTAGTTTCCATTCAATTTATTTTTAATACCAGTTTACGTTAGTTTAACTGTGTTCATGCCTATATTGACCATCTATAACTTCAGGTTGGTAAGTGATTATCTGTGCTAAGGAAATCCACAGGAGACATTCCGCAAATGGTGCCGTTTGTCAGTTAGGAAAACTCACGGAATGTTTTCTCCAAAGTTTAAGGTGCTCAAGTTACCATTAAAGAAAAGCGGGGTTCGTATTGGTATTTAAAAATTATATTTAAAAAAAATAAAGCGTATTACTTAGAAACGCATAGGTTTGTCATCGACTCCCTGAAATCAGACTCCGAATTAATATCTCACATGTTCGTCAATTAATGTTGAAATTCCATCATGCATTAGGTAAATGAGACAGTAAACGGAATCTTTCGACTTCCTTACCTAACCATTTTTTAATGAATCCCACAAAGGAAGTCGTGGGATTCCTTTCTCATTTGTTGCGTGTTGAAAAATATGTCCTGATATATTTTCAATTTTGAATAATCCGGGAAATGACTTTATTCTGAGACAGGCAATATCCTTCTCGTCTGATTGCATTTACTTGCCGAGGGTTGTGGGACAAGCCGCGGATTATGAGGGAATGGTTGGAGCTTCTCTGATGGCTCATTAGCTATCAGATAGATGGTTTATTTCCATCTTGCCCCGCTTGGGTGGCGTTTTTCAATTAAGAGTTTTGTAAATTCGTTTTTGCAAGAATTCCGACGAATCGCAAGTCAAATATGAGCTGCAGTGCATTGGAATCCCGAAGTAACGAAGGCGATCTATGTGAAATTTGCACCGTCTGTGCAGTGACGACCACAACATGCGGCAGATCCAATCTGGCGCGGGACGGAACTCCTGGTGCAGGCGACATAGACTCAACGAGACGGACTTGGATTTACCGGTTCTGGAATGGACTCTTGGACCTCACGCTAGGAAGCGCGAGAGAGTATCCCCTCGTCATCGGCGGATCCCCGGCGACCATCAAGGAAGCCCCCTTCATGGCACACCTCACTTTGGAATTCACAAATTCATCCAGTTCTTCTTCGAAATGGAGGGCGGCCGCGACGTCCTCTTCCTTGTGCACTGCCTCAATCATAGGCGATCGATGGATACTCACCGCCGCCCACAGCGTCACTCCGCCGAAATCGTAAGCGCGCATTGCTGTCGTCCTCCGCGCATAACGCACTGTGCCTTGGATGCCTGTGGATATCGGCTTCCATGCATGCCCTGTTTCGGATCGGTGCGCGAGAGATCGTTTTTTTTTTCCCCTCGAAGCTCCCGCCTTCAGAAGGTGACGGTCTCTGTGGGGAGTGCAGACCGAACGGTTGGAACTCGCATCACGGCTGATTCCTACAAGGCTCATCCCGATTACAACGGTTAGATTCCGCTTGCTTCCATCTTCACGTTCATAACCTAGAGTTATTTTCTCTCCTTTAGTGGGCCAGTTCGACGAAACGGTTTCGACGTTATGGCAGATGCGTTTCTTTGTAAGCATGTGAAGCGTGCTGTGGAATTCCTCATCTCTGGAGGAAATAAAGTGCCTCAAAATTTATTCGATAACCCTCGAATCGAAATTAAAATTTCCATTCATTAACGAAATCGTGCTGCACATGTAAGAAATGCTGTTGGTACATCTTGCATTTTAACGTGTTCCTGTGGGCGACCCTTGTCTATGGGAATAATTTCATTCAAGGAATGCCTTCTTGCATGAAATTACTCGCACCGACAGAAAACTTGTCCACGGAAACGATCTAAAACGCGAGTCACTTCTGAAAGATGAAACTCGCATGAATAAAACCCTCCATTACGAATGCAGCAGGGAATCCTTACACTGGCAGCGACATCGCCCCGATCCGCCTGCCGTCGGCGCTCGCGTTCGGCCCGACGATCCAGCCGATCTGCTACCCGACGTCCGACAACGTGGGGACCGCCACGTCGGCCTGCGAGCAAACGTTCTACGGGTGGGGACTCCTTCACGCCACGGACACGACGTCCCCCGTGAACCTGCAGAAAGTGAACGTGAAGGTCACCACCAGCGCCTCTACGGATTGCTTGGGCGTCGACGGCAAGATCATTTGCGTCTCGGGATCGACCCCGTCGACTGGAACCTGTAACGTAAGGACCATCTTCCTCATTTTTACATTGTTTCCTGCTATTTCGTTTTGCCGAAACGATTAAGTGGGGTTGGGGTGAGTGTGCCTAATGCGAAAGAATCTGAAAGCATAGATGACACAGGCAAAGTTTGAATGGAAATACAGGTGGGATTCAAGCTTCCAAAGGAAAATTAAGAAATAGGAGTTAAATGAGGAAGAGAAACTCTTTATTCGTCCCGACTAATCCTGCGCAGTACACTCTGGAAAAGAAAACTTCCTAGTGTTTCCTCGCATTTAGATAGATTTATTAATGGTGGATTCACGCTCATCCCATCGCGAAACCGAACAGGGCGACAGCGGAGGACCCTTGGTGGTGCGACACGGGGGCATTGCATTCGTGAGCGGGGTCAATTCCTACCACCAGCCGGAGGGATGCGCGGTGAAGCCGAACGGCCACACCAAAACCTCCGCCTTCGCTTCATGGGTCCAGTCCACGATCGCCAGCTGGAGCTAGGCCGCCGATTTCGATTTCCCACTCGTCCTTGTGCAAACGGATTGCATCGAAAGAAAGCATTGCAGGACGGTATCTGGCGGTTCCACTGGGAAGATGGGTTCATCAGGAAAATATTAGTGTTTGGGGTATGTGCCTTCACTTTTGAACGAAATTATTTTGTGGGCTCGTTACCGTATCGTATTGTCTTGAAATCCCTGTGCATAAATTACCATTCGCTCTATTCCAGCACCATTTTACAATATAAAAAAACTCGTGTCCTACAATGTATTCGATTTGCGCTGCGAAATTTGTTGCTTTTTGGCGAATGGATACTTACTGAAATCTCATTGTCGGGAATGTGAAGTTATTCTATGAATGTGAAAGTGCATGTTTTTGGGGGTATTTGAGTTCGTTACGCATGCGAAGGGCTCCTCAGTATTAGTATTCACGTTGCTTTCTGTTCGATTGTTTTCGAGGATATTTTTCACTTCAATATTTCTCAATGCGATTCTGTAGTTCTGACTTCCAACGATTCGAATGCATAATGAATCAAAGTCACCCGATGCACACTTTGGGTTTCAAGCAATAAAGACCTTGTGATGATGGCAGACCTTGTGCGAGCATGTTTGTGCGGGTCCGCAATGACCCGCGCGAGATAACCAGAACCAGGTTGTATCCGTCTTCTGCGTGATGTTTCGCACCTTATTAAGGAATATATTCACACGCCTCATCGCCGGCATCAATCGTCGTCGCATCGATCGGAGGTTGTCCATTAATAATCGCCTACAAAATTGTTTGCAAATACTTTCTTAACCTTCCTATTCTGCTCGGGTCTATATGACCCAAAACACTGATTCAACCTGATGTAGCTTCCATGTATTTCACCGAAAAAATCTGAAATTTTCTTACTTTTCCTAACTTTTCGAATATATTTACGACTTCAAAGGCGAACTCATTTCCACGAAGCATTACTGAAATATTTATGATACCCCCTCCTGTTATGCTCGGGTCTATTTGACCCGATTGCAATACTAGTGCATTTTCAACATGAGTTACGTCATCCTTCTTGGAACAAGTTTCTGGAGCAGTTGCCCTTGAGAAATGTATTGATTCTAAAAGTCAAGCGTTCTGCCAGTTTTGGGAAATTGCGGATTCATTCTGGTTTAGACTACACGAGTCCATCCGGGACGCCGTGTGACTTCGTTACGTTACGTTGCGTTACATCCTCTTGGAGCATTTTCTTCGCCTCGTGCTTTTGTTGCTGCGTTAGCCTTGGCATATCTCTCATGTTTTTCAGAGACGGTATGAAATACACAATGGAATCAGCCCTTTTTCGTCTATGGAAATCTGAACTTTACATAGGACATGGAGAAAAACTAATTAGACATATTCCTGACGTGGCACATGCACAGCGCTCAAAGGTTAGCGAGCATACGCTAATAATGTTCAAGAGGTTCAGCATAAGACAGATATAATGCCATCACAACTCCTACTCTGCGAGCGAGCCCTTTATTACCTTGTAATATTTCTTTTGGGTGCCAGCATATTATGATATGTTGGACACCTTGGTCTACAACGCATATGTGCTGTGGACTCCAAAAAGAACCGGGATGACACTAGAACAAACTCTTCAAATGAAGATCGTTCTTATTAGAATTGGACATGCAATTCATTGCCCATTGCGAGAGAGAGGAGAATGTCTTTCACGCACACCGTTCTCTGCTTCCGTCGTCATTTCTGCACGACTGCCTAGACCATGCAATAACTCGAGCTCCTTTGCTAGACTGAGTTCAACAAGCAGCAAGAAAGAGCCGGATGTACTTTTTGTCTTAGGACAAAAAAAAGCATCAACTGAACGTCGTATGGAGAATATATTTGTAATTTGAGCCCAAGTACGCTTCATGTACCTTGCAAAATCAGTTATAAATCAGGGTTTGTCGCAATTGACAATTTTGGAAATCAGTTTTTGTTGGAATTTTTTGTAATTAACTCAGTGTTAACAATAAAGAGGTATGCTAACATAGCTAATAAAATAATGAGCACATGTGTGATAGATCCTTTTCCTATAAGGAATCACGAGGCAGCAAAAAACTCAAGCGAATTCCTATTCAAATAAAGGGAAACGTATATCGGGTCAGGGTGACGCGAACGTAAATGGTGTACCTAAAATGGGAACAGAATAGGAAGGTTAATTATTCTTACTCTTTTTTCTATTCCTGATTTTCTCTGATTGAGGCATTGGATCGTTCATGGCAATGCTTTGGAACAACGGATCTCTAGTTATACTTCACAACCTATTGGTCGCGGCCCTCTCCTGGATACTTTTTTTTTTAGTTGAGAGATTAGAAATGAGAGTTGATGTGCGCTTCAACGCTTGATGTGACCACGAGATGACCACGTCACAGCTGCCTTGTTATGCGTCGCGTTAATCCTGGATTTCATTCCTCTCCTCCGCAGTAGAACTCAGGTCGACGGCTTCCTCGAAATGTTTATATTTTATTTCGCCTTCTCGGGCTCCCAGAATTCCCCCCCTCTCCGTCCTCGCAAAGCCGACAGGCGTGAACGCGCTCGCTCCCGCACGCACAGCGAAGCCAGCATTCGCCCCAGTCATGGCCTCGCCATCCCGTCTCCGTGCACCGATGGCAGACCTCCTCCCTCTCCTCCTCCTCCTCCATGGAAGCCTTGGACAGAGCTGCCCATCCGCTCCTCCTGCGATTCCACGTCAGCCTTTCCATCTTCGTCTCTTAGTGCATTATTTCCCATTTATTTTTGTTGCCCTTGGAACTGTGACGATAGGTCATTTCACATAAGCGAGGTGTACATTTATTACTGTTTACTCTTACCGTATATATTATTACTGTATTTATATATATAATATTTACTATTAATGCACGCAATACATCCATGACGTAGTCATTCTAATTGAATCATCACCCTTGACGTGATGTTCATCCGCCCGTGAGTGCAACATCTGCTGCGTCAGTACGATTGAGTATTTTTTTTACACACCTCTCGAAAGGTGTTTTGCATCGCCTTCCTGGTCTGAATATCCCCGGAGCGACAATTCGCCATTGCCGATCGCAATGGACAGGGCAATGGCAATGGCTTTCGCTGCAGGCAGGGCAATCGACAGGGCAGCCTGCCTCCACTCGCCTTCATTGCCGCAATTTTCAAACTCCGGTCAGGAAAAGCGGCTCGCTCCGTTTTGCCTCCGGATTCCTGCTGCAGCGCAGGCAAAAAAAAACCTCAAATTTACATTTTTTGCCATTTCCACTTCCTTCCCCATAAGATTCAAGCCATCCTTCCCGGTGCTCATTATTGGCAAATCCGGGATTGGCAAGGTTTCTTCGCGAACATTCATCGCATTCCCCTCGAAAATTTGAACGGTTTCGCGGCACGTCAGTTTGCATGCGAATTTTCGTTGAGTTTTCTCTCAATTTCTCCTAGACTTTTTTTCACATGCATTTAATTTCAACAATTACAACATATTTGCAGATTCTTAAAACATTTTTTCTATTTTTATATATTTTATTTTATGGTTTACCTCATTCATTTCAATTTCATTTGCATTCACCATAATCACATGTATCATATTCGCACGCATCACATATTCAGACGTGGTGAGGCTAATCGCAGTGAGGCTAATACGCAGTGAGGCTAATCCGCAGTGAGGCTGATCCGCAGTGAGGCTAATCCGCAGTGAGGCTCATCCGCAGTTGCACCGAATCGAACGCGACCCCGCGCCTTTCCACGCGTTTAACAGTTCCGTTATTTCGACGAAGCAACGGAACGAAGTAACGGTTCCGTCGCTGGGACGAAGCGAATCGAGGAACGTTTTCGGATTTTTCCCTTACATAATATATATTTATTATTATTATTATTATTATACATTTGATATTATAAAGAGAAAGACAGGGGCATCAAACCAAGTCGACCAGGGAAGGACCAGGTCGACCTTTTCACCTGTGCGTTGGCCATTACGGTTCCCGGTTGGTTCGTTGCCTCGATTGGCCCGGGAAAGGGATTGCACGCGGATGACGTCAGCCTGCGGGAAATTGCGAAGATTTTTGCTCGGAAAGGAATGAGGACGTTTTTGGAAGGATTTACCATCTCGTTTACATTTTAGAGAATTGCAGAGGTTCGATAAGTCGAATGATAGGGCTTAATTTATGAAAATGAAACAAGAATGTACTTTTTTAAAAAACCCACACATTTGAACATGCTTCTGTTAATTCTTGAGTTTCTCGGAGCTCAGACTCAGGAACGAATCGGGAGGGAATTTTCTCGCGTTCGTGCAAAAAATCGCGGCCGGCCGGGGAAGGTGCCGTTCGCGCCCCGCGATCTGGCGGCCATCCGGTCCCAGGTTCTTGCAGCTTCGACGCTTCTCGCGAGACGATCCCCGCTGGCATGGGGCGGTGCTTCGCTTCGTCGCGAAACGGCGAGAAATCGGTGCAGGAGAATTTCGATGGAAAAAAAAATGAAAAGGGAGATACTCTTTTTTTTTGGCAAGGTGCGTCGATGCGTGAAGAAGGTCGAGCAGAAGTAACTGCGCTACCTGTTCATTAGCACTGATACATATTCCACCTAATTTATTTATACCTATAAATAATTATTGGTATACCGGAAATAAAATTTTCGAGTGTCATTCCATCGAAATCCCATTTAAATGTATCCGCAATTTTCAACGAAATTTGCAGTGACGAGCACGCAGTGCGGGCAGTCGAGCTCGACCCGAGCGATGGACGACACACTCCCGGCGCCCGCGCCCTGGCTCGACCGATTCTGGAATCGGCTCGTGGGGCTCCTCGCGTTCGGCGCTCGGCAGGAGCAGGGCCTCGTCATCGGCGGGTCCCCGGCGACCATCGCGGAGGCCCCCTTCATGGCGTTCCTCAGCGTTCAGTTCGGGTCGGGCCTGAAGAAGAGGATGTCGTCCTGCAGCGCCTCCGTCATCGGGGACCGCTGGGTCCTCACCGCCGCCCACTGCATCCTCACGGGAAACGAGTAAGTCCCAATCCTCTCTGGTTCACATCCTCCCTCCGAGTCGATCAGCTGACATCCACCTTTCTCGTTTGAAGGGTTCTCGCTCAGAAGGTGAAAGTCTCCCTGGGGAAAGCGAACCGGAAGGTTGCGACTCAGTACGTCGCCGATTCCTTCAAGGCTCATCCCGATTTCAAATTGAGTGAGATCCTTTCTCTTTTTTTTGCTCTTCCAAACTGCATCTCTTCAGGGAAATATTCAGTACAGTTGGCTCGTTATACGCGGGGGTTGCGTTCCTGAAAATCGCGAGTATCTCGAATCCGCGTGAAACCGGAAACATGTAATAATTGGGGTTGCGTTCAGGAACGCAACCCGCGTATAAAGAGAGTCAACTGTATTTGTTGTTAACTCCGTTTGTGGCAGATGGGCACTAGCAGGCATAAGATACGTGGCATACGCGTATAGTATTTCCTCCCTTATGAAAGGAGTCCGGTAGGTATCAAAATCACCTGAAACCTCGCTTATTTTCATAGTGTACTTATATAGACATAAGATGTTCATGTTGATATTTGAATAATATTCGTACCTACGGTACATACAGGCTGATTATAAATTAATGTTATATCTCTG